CTAGGTGACCCCAGAAAACCTCTCTTCAGAAAAGCCTATCCTGCCTCCTCCTAACAACTGTACTTTTATTGTCTCCATCAGCTCATTCCCCACAGTTATCACCTTTTGTATTACTTGTTCCCCCCTTTTAGATTGTAAGCTCTAACGAGCAGGGCCCTCGGATTCTTACTCTATAAAATTGTATTATAACTGTATTGTCTGCCCTCATGTTGTAAAGCTCTGCGCAAACTGTTGGTGCAATATATTATGTATTATAATAATAATAATAATAATTATTATGTCTTACTATCTCTACATCCATATACAATGAATAATTTTGACACTTACATAAGAATAAAGCAAAAAAATAAGAAAATAATGTAGCCCTATGGGACCAAAACATCACACTAACATGATGGTATAGACATTCTGGGGGACCATTGGAGGAAGATAGTATTCAAACTAGCCTTGAAGTCCTTAAATTATCTACAGATATTTACAAAAGATATGCACACCATAAGGTAAGTATCCCTGGATAGAATGGAATTACTATGACATTAACAGAGGTGAAAGTATACAGATACACACCTAAAGATGCTCAAACTATAGCCTCTGAGTTTCAGTTTTCATCCTTTGGGAAAACTGCATTATACGTCATACCTGATATATCTAGTTACTCCTCCAATGCTCTGTTTCTCAAGGGTGCTAGAGGTAAACCGTCACTGGTAACCTATTAAACAGAGGAGGGATACACATTCAAAACCCATCAAATCAGCTTATCCCCATTATCTGTCTTTAAGTTAAGCCCATACACTGAGCAAATTTTCTTTCCTGCAACCACAGACAGTATTACCGCCATGCCATTATATTCTCCTCGTGGGGGATGACATCCACATCGAGAGAAGATAGTGAATATTGGCAGTGGCTTTACTAGCCACTAGCAATAATCGCATGTAAAATTCAGCAGGTTGGTTGTACCCAAGTTGATTGATCGATCAACTTGGTATATTCAGCCCACCCATACATGGTTCAAATCTCCTGCTGAACTGGCTGAAATTTGAACCTTCTATGGCCAGCCTTATGCAATTCATTCTACCTCTAGCAGGTGTCTCCTTCACCAGGGAGGGGGCTGGTTAATCACCCTCAATGTAGCAGGAAACATCCTTTTTCTTAAACTCAACCAAATCTGATAATGATATGAAACACCAAGATGTATGTACCAGTCTCCATTATCCTTCCTTGTTGCCAAACATTGTTGCTCACCATATGGCGCATGAGTCCAACTGGTCCCTGGGAACATGTCAGTCTCATGCGTATAATGGCTGGCTGCTATTAATCCATGCTGCCTCCCCCAATCCTTGTGTGCTCAGGACACCCATTGTGTGATGTCAGTGAAATCAGCTGCCATTTTGGACTAGGTGCCTTCCAGACATAGGCACACACCATTGTCACAACACAAGCTGGTAACCCACCATTGGTGGGGTGGAAATGTAGAGAAAAAACAAGAGGGGAAACAGGAAGCAGAATCCAAAAAAGAGTGGTCCACACTTACAACCTTTACAACATCAAAAAAGATCCTCAGTGGCTCCAAACCCCACACAGATGGGGGCATTCAAAACTACCCCCTACATGTGTTCAAACAGTGCCCACACAAAGTAAGCAACTCCTGCATAGGGCAACATACAGGAAAACCTTTAAACAAAACAACACTAAATACAATTGTACATCATGCTGTGTATATATATATATATATATATATATATATAAAATATATATATATTTTTTTTTTTTAATGTATAACTTGTATACTAACATGACTAAATATAAGGAGTGAAGTATCATGCCCATAGATATGGTTCAACACCTCTAAGGGGGGGAGGGGGGTGTCAGACAGGTGGCGGCCAGATGCCTCAGAACATATGTACCCCCCCCCCCCCCCCAGGATGAACAAACAAGAAATCACAACCTATTCAATGATAATCAATAATTCAGTGTAAAGGAAGCATTTAAAGCCTAAACTGTAATTAGACTCAGAGGGATAGTAGCCTTCAGCTGGTGTATTCATTTGGCCTCTCTCTGTAGCAGGGAATTGCAAGAAACTGCTTTTTTAATAGTCTCCTAATATTTTTTTCTGAATATGTAATAAACTACAGTAATACCTCGGTTTATGAATTTAATTCGTTCTGCAGGACTTTTCGTATAGCGAAAAATTCATAAACTGAAACGCTGTTTCCCATAGGAATGCATTGAAAACCAATTAATCCGTTCCAGAGATCAGAAAAAAGTAAACACTACTAAAATACCACATGAGTTATTTTATCAAGTCATGCGGTATTTTAGTAGTGACAACCATGTGTTAATGTTTCAGCTGTCAGCAAGGTTCCCCACTGACAGCTGAATCTAAAAGAATTGCCGACAATTAAAAAAATAATTTTTGGCGTGGGGTCCCCCCTCCCATCCATACCAAGCCCTTCGGGTCTGGTATGGATTTTGAGTGGAACTCCCAAGCCAAAATTTAAAAAAAAAAAAATGGCGTGGGGGTCGCCCCCAAAATCCATACCAGACCCTTATACAAGCATGCAGCCTGGCAGGTCAGGAAAGGGGGGGCGAGCGCGAGAGCTAGCGCACCCCCCTCTCCTGAACCATACCAGGCCACATGCCCTCAACATGGGGGGGTGCTTTGGTGCAGGGGGGGCTCCCCCCCAAAGCACCTTGTCCCCATGTTGATGGGGACAAGGGCCTCTTCCCCACAACCCTGGCCATTGGTTGTGGGGGTCTGCGGGCAGGGGGCTTATCGGAATCTGTAAGCCCCCTTTACCAAGGGGGCATCCAGATCCTGGGCCCCCCCCCATGTGAATAAGTATGGGGTACATGGTACCCCTACTCATTCACAAAAAACAAAAAGTGTAGAGCGAAAAAAAGACAGGACACAATCTTTGTCAAATCCTTTATTAAAAGAATGTCCCCTGCAGTAGATCCAACGTCAATCACGGTGCCAGCTGTCACCGCTGCCGCCGCCGACCCGAAGAAAGAATTTTTTTTAAAAAAGCTCCGCTTCCGACGATGGCTTCCAGCCTTCTGCCTGCTCCGGTGGTTTGACAGTTCTTAAATATGTAAGGGGCGGGGCCACCTGGGGACATCACACATGTGACCCCACCCCATGTGACATTTATTCTTGGTTTGGGGCGGCAGCAGCAGCGGCAGTGACGGTGGGGGACATTCTTTTAGTTTTTTCTTTTAATAAAGGACTTGCCAAAGACCATGTGTCAGGGCTTCGGGTATGACCAGAGGTATGTGAACTGACGCAGGGAAACGCAGGCTTCAGATATGTTATAAACAATATTATTTATTAATACTAACAATACAAAACGCAGTGCAATACTAAAACATAAACAAAGTGCAAACGAACCAAACCAAGCCACCCACAGATAACAATACATACAATGCAAGCATAGTCAGGCAGGCCGGGTCAATAACAGTCGGGCAGGTAGGAACAGGAGGAGCAGGCAGAGAGTAGTCAGGTCACGAGCCAGGTACAGCAACAAACGGGCAGGTAGGTACAGGGGGTCAGGCAGAGAATGGTCGGGGTCACAAGCCAGGGATCAAACAGGAGAAGTCAGCAGAGGTCAGGATCAGGCAGGGTCGGCAACGAGTCAGTCAGGCAGGAACAGGAATGCAGGTAACAAGATACAGGGGCCCATAAAAAAACACACGCCAAGGCCCAGACTGCAGGTCTGGCCATCCCTTAAATACACCTCCGTAATCAGCTTCAGGTGTTTGGCTGACTGCAGGGTTGAGTCTCTGATTGCTGAGAGCACCCGCTGGCCAGCCCTGGTACTGCAGCCCACAAGGCAGGTGAGTCCCACCATTACTGGCAAGTCCATTCCTGACAGTACCCCCCCCTCAAGGAGTGGCCTCAGGACGCTCCAAACAGTCCTAGCTGGGCAAAATGTTCCACCGCCCGGGTCTGGTAACTGGAGGGATATCAAAGACTGGCACATCGGGCTGGACGCCGGGCAGAGGCACATCGGGCTGGACTCCGGGCAGAGGCACATCGGGCTGGACTCCGGGCAGAGGCACATCGGGCTGGACTCCGGGCAGAGGCACATCGGGCTGGACTCCGGGCAGAGGCACATCGGGCTGGACTCCGGGCAGAGGCACAGCGGGCTGGACACCGGGCAGAGGCACATCGGGCTGGACACCGGATCACCAGGCGGAGCAGCAGGCACCAGATCACCAGGCGGAGCAGCAGGCACCGGGGCAGCAGGCACAGGGCCACCAGGCGGAGCAGCAGGCACCTGGCCCCCAGGCGGAGCGACAGGAATCGGGCCCCCAGGCGGAGCGACGGGCATTGGGCCCCCAGGCAGAGCGGCGGGCGGGGCCCCCAGGTGGAGCGGCGGGCACCGGGGCCCCCAGGAGGAGCGGCAGGCACAGGGCCCCCAGGTGGGGCAGAAGGCGCTGGGCCCCCAGGCGGAGCAGCGGGCGCCGGGCCCCCAGGCAGAGCGGCAGGCGCCGGGCCCCCAGGAGGGGCGGGCACCGGGCCTCCAGGAGGGGCGGCAGGCACCGGGCCCCCAGGCGGAGCGACGGGCACCGGGCCCCCAGGCGGAGCCGGGCCCCCAGGCGGAGCGGCAGGCGCCGGACCCCCAGGCGGAGCTGCGGGCGCCGGACCCCCAGGAGGGGCGGCAGGCACCGGGCCCCCAGGCGGAGCGGCGGGCACCGCGTCATCTGGCAAGGCAGTGGGCACCGAGTCACTAGGCACGACAGTGGGCTCTGAGTCAATTGGCACGACAGCGGGCACCGGGTCATCAGGTACCGGATCGTCTGGCTCGACAGCAGGCACCGGGTGATCTGGCGCTGGATCGTCTGGCTCGACAGCGGGCATACAGGCATGGCATCGGGATCACAGCAGGCATGACAGTGGGCACCGGGTCATCAGGTACTGGATCGACAGCGGGCACCGGGTCATCTGGCGTTGGATCGTCTGGCTCTACAGCGGGCATCGGGTCACCAGGTATGACAGCGGGCACTGGGTCATCAGGCATTGGATCGTCTGGCTCGACAGCGGGCATCGGGTCACCAGGTATGACAGCGGGCACCACCGGGTCATCAGGTACCGGATCGTCTGGCTCGACAGCGGGCACCGGGTCATCAGGCATTGGATCATCTGGCTCGACAGCGGGCATTGGGTCACCAGGCATGACAGCGGGCACTGGGTCATTCAGGCATTGGATGGTCTGGCTCAACAGCGGGCATCGGGTCACCAGGTATGGCAGCGGGCACCGGGTCATCAGGTACCGGATCGTCTGGCTCGACAGCGGGCATCGGGTCACCAGGCATGACAGCGGGCACTGGGTCATCAGGCATTGGATCGTCTGGCTCGACAGCGGGCATCGGGTCACCAGGTATGACAGCGGGCACTGGGTCATCAGGCGTGATAGGATCATCAGGCTGGATCAGTTCATCAGGCTGGGTACAGACATCAGGCTGGGTAGAGACATCAGGCTGAAGTGCGGGTGCCGAGGCACCAGGCTAAACCACGGAAGGCAGGTTCTCAGATGGCAGGCTCACCGGTTTGGATACTGGCAGGATGGTACTGGTTGGAAAGAATTTTTGCTTTTTTTCTGGTTTTAACTACTGGAGCACTGCAAGTAAACGCAGGTCTGCAAACGAATGGAGCAGCTGAGGACAGAGAAGAGCTGGAAGATGGAACAGAGGAGGGAGCAGCCGCCACAGAGGACCTCTCCACAGGGCCAAAGAAAGGATAGGTGCAGCGAGTGGGAGCAGGGGACTGGTATGTGGTAGTTAGCAGAGTATACTGGGCCGTCACTGGGGGTGCTGTCGGGGATGCAGGAAGAGTGCCTTGAGCAGAGGAATGACGTTGCAAGCTGACTGAGGCTGGGTGCAACAAGTCTGACCATGTCTGCAGTATGGGTTGAACAAAGCTGAGCTTACACAAAGCCTGTCTGGTCAAAGACTGCACTGCGTTTATACAATCCCTTAATACCTGTGGTGAACATGCAGCATAATGCTCCAAGAAGCAATCCACATCATCCTCTAATAACCATACCAGGGACTCTACCTGGTCTGCACTAAATGGTGGCAAAAAAGTAATTCCTGCTTTCAGGGGTACCAGATGAAGCCAACTCTACACAAACCTGAATCAAAGGTTGCACCTCAGAGAACTCTGTGCCCTGATCTACTAGAACATGAGCGATCCGTATACATTCTAGCAGTTGATCCCGGGTATACTCCCTCAGAGTCTGATAAGCATATTCTCTGTCATCAAAAACCAGCAGCGACAAATACACAACCTCATCAAGATCCATCCTTCCCAGCAACAAGCCAAGATGGCTTCCCTGTGCAGCCACTTCTGGTCAGGATTGGCCTTGGTGTAATGTCAGGGCTCCGGGTATGACCAGAGGTATGTGAACTGACGCAGGGAAACGCAGGCTTCAGATATGTTATAAACAATATTATTTATTAATACTAACAATACAAAACGCAGTGCAATACTAAAACATAAACAAAGTGCAAACGAACCAAACCAAGCCACCCACAGATAACAATACATACAATTCAAGCATAGTCAGGCAGGCCGGGTCAATAACAATCGGGCAGGTAGGAACAGGAGGAGCAGGCAGAGAGTAGTCAGGTCACGAGCCAGGTACAGCAACAAACGGGCAGGTAGGTACAGGGGGTCAGGCAGAGAATGGTCGGGGTCACAAGCCAGGGATCAAACAGGAGAAGTCAGCAGAGGTCAGGATCAGGCAGGGTTGGCAACGAGTCAGTCAGGCAGGAACAGGAATGCAGGTAACAAGATACAGGGGCCCATAGAAAAACACACACCAAGGCCCAGACTGCAGGTCTGGCCATCCCTTAAATTCACCTCCGTAATCAGCTTCAGGTGTTTGGCTGACTGCAGGGTTGAGTCTCTGATTGCTGAGAGCACCCACTGGCCAGCCCTGGTACTGCAGCCCACAAGGCAGGTGAGTCCCACCATTACTGGCAAGTCCATTCCTGACACCATGTCTTGTCTTTTTTCACACTACACTTTTTGTTTTTTTTGTGAATGAGTAGGGGTACCATGTACCTCATACTCATTCACATAGGGGGGGCAGGATCTGGATGCCCTCTTGTTAAAGGGGGCTTCCAGATTCCGATAAGCCCCCTGCCCACAGACCCCCACAACCACCAGCCAGGGTTGTGGGGAAGAGGCCATTGTCTCCATCAACATGGGGACATGGTGCTTTGGGGGGAGCCCCCCTGCCCTAAAGCACCCCCCCATGTTGAGGGAATGTGGCTTTTGCTCGCCCCCCCTTTCCCCCCTCAAAATCCATACCAGACCCAAAGGGCTTGGTATGGATGGGAGGGGGGACTCCACGCCATTTTTTTAATTTATTATGGTGCCGGTTTTTTTAAATTTAATTACCGCTTTTTTTTTCTTCACTATAGCTCAGAAATTCAGCTGTCACTTTCCCCCCAGCTAAAAGAAAGAAAGTTTTATTTTAGTTTATTTCCACGAGTTAAGAGAAACACTTTTCCTTTTAGTTTCTTAAAAGAAAAACAAACTCCGGGGAAAGTGACAGCTAATTTTGTGAGCTATAGTGAAGAAAAAAAAAAAAAAGCTGGCAATTGCATATAAAAATCAGCACTGACATATTGCAAACACAATTCGTTAAAAATTCGTAAACCAAGGCATTATTTTCAATGTATTTTCATTCGTAAACCGAAAATTACGTTAACCGAGGCCTTTGTAAACCAAGATATTACTGTACAATTGTATGATTTTATTTATGACTCATATTTGGCACATTACTCGACTCAGGCATTGATTATGTACAACATACTTTAATTTTCCACGGGACCACTATGAAATCTATCATGTATGAATTGCAAATACTGTGGAGCAGCCTATAAATGAACCAATGTTTTTGCATAGATTATGAAAAAAAAACAAACTTTTTCCACCCAGTCATTTCTTTACGTTTTAATTAATATTCCCTTAAATTACATATAGCTGAGCTAAATAATGAAATACTTACATTTATACCATCACACAGGTGAGCTGAAGAAAGTATGAAGATAAGTTTTGAAACCAAAGTAACAACATCCCTAAATTTAACAAAAATAAATATATAAAATCACAGCTTCGTACTATAAAATATTTATATATAAGACAGTATAATATTAAAAACATTTTCTCCTGTTTTATGTAGGATAGGACAAGTAAATAAAGTAGTCATTTCATTTACTTAAAGTGGAATTACACTCATCTTGGCTCCAGCAATGCGACGTTCTGAATAAATGAAAAATAATCAGGGGTCCCTGACTAAGCCACGTGGGTTAGTGGTGTATTGCATGGGGCGGAGCTTAGTGACATCACTACGGACCCACAGACCAGATGTTCGGAGATTATTTGCTGTTTTACCGCTTTACCTATCCTGATACGTTGTGAGTGTTTACTCTGTTCGTTCTTTTTCATTTATTAAATTATTTTACACTATTGGAGGCTGTTCTCTCTTTCCTATATGCTGAGGTTGAGTTTTGAAGAAATGCCTGTGGGTGATCGTGTATTACCATTAGAGAATGAGCAAATTATTCAAAAATTCGATTCGGCCGATTCGCCGAATTTGCGGGTGAAATTCGATTCGATGCGAATTTATTCGCCGCAAATTTAAACTTATTTAAAGGGTTTCTAGGCTTCAGAGAGCCTTTATATTAGTGCAGAAAACACTGTACCTTTAATTTAAATGCCCTTGGAGTCTGCTGGGGAAGAGAAATAATACTGTCAGTCAGTATGACATGCAGATGAGTGCCGTCGATCTTAGAATCACCGCACACTTCACTCATTTGGGCAGTCACGGGGCCACGACGAAGAAGAAGAAGAAGAAGAATGAAAAGAAGAAGAAGAAGAATGAAAAGAAGAAGAAGAAGAATGAAAAGAAGAATGAGAAGAAGAATGAAAAGAAGAATTAAAAGAAGAATGAAAAAAGAAGAATTAAAAGAAGAATGAGAAGAATGAAAAGAAGAAGAAGAATGAAAAGAAGAAGAAAGAAGAAGAATGAAAAGAAGAATGAAAAGAAGAAGAAGAAGAATGAAAAGAAGAAGAAGAAGAAGAAGAAGAAGAATGAAAAGAAGAAGAAGAATGAAAAGATGAAGAAGAAGAATGAAAAGAAGAAGAAGAAGGAAAAAGAAGAAGAAGAAGAATGAAAAGAAGAATGAAAAGAAGAAGAAGAAGAATGAAAAGAAGAATGAGAAGAAGAATGAAAAGAAGAATGAGAAGAAGAATGAAAAAGAAGAATGAAAAGAAGAAATGAGAAGAATGAAAAGAAGAAGAAGAAGAATGAAAAAGAAGAAGAAGAATGAAAAGAAGAAGAATGAAAAAGAAGAAAGAAGAATGAAAAGAAGAATGAAAAAGAAGAATGAAAAGAAGAATGAAAAGAAGAAGAAGAAGAATGAAAAGAAGAATGAAAAGAAGAAGAAGAAGAATGAAAAGAAGAATGAAAAGAAGAAGAAGAAGAATGAAAAGAAGAAGAAGAAGAATGAAAAAGAAGAATGAAAAGAAGAAGAAGAAGAATGAAAAGAAGAAGAAGAGAAGAATGAAAAGAAGAATGAAAAGAAGAAGAATGAAAAGAAGAAGAATGAAAAGAAGAAGAAAAATGAAAAGAAGAAGAAGAAGAATGAAAAGAAGAATGAAAAGAAGAAGAAGAAGAATGAAAAGAAGAAGAAGAATGAAAAGAAGAAGAAGAAGAATGAAAAGAAGAATGAGAAGAAGAATGAAAAAGAAGAATGAGAAGAATGAAAAGAAGAAGAAGAAGAATGAAAAAGAAGAAGAAGAAGAATGAAAAGAAGAATGAAAAGAAGAATGAAAAGAAGAAGAAGAAGAATGAAAAGAAGAAGAAGAAGAATGAAAAGAAGAAGAAGAAGAATGAAAAGAAGAATGAAAAGAAGAAGAAGAAGAATGAAAAGAAGAAGAAGAAGAATGAAAAGAAGAAGAAGAAGAATGAAAAAGAAGAAGAAGAAGAAGAAGAATGAAAAGAAGAATGAAAAAGAAGAAGAAGAAGAATGAAAAGAAGAAGAAGAAGAATGAAAAGAAGAAGAAGAAGAATGAAAAGAAAAAGAAGAAGAATGAAAAGAAGAATGAAAAGAAGAAGAAGAAGAATGAAAAGAAGAAGAAGAATGAAAAGAAGAATGAAAAGAAGAAGAAGAAGAAGAATGAAAAGAAGAAGAAGAATGAAAAGAAGAAGTATTCCAGTACAGCAAAAAGTGTATCTGCAGAGAGCTCCGCTATTTCTGACAGTTCTCTGACAGTTCCTTCACATTTACAGCGGTTGAAACATTGTATCTATTTATTTCCGAATAAAAAACATCTGTATCCTAAATGGAAACAAATAGATACAATGTTTCAACCGCTGTAAATGAACTGTCAGAACTGTCAGAAAATAGCGGAGCTCTCTGCAGTGACACTTTTGCCGGCTGATCGGGAAAAATTTGATTCGTGCACCCGAAGTTTGCTAAAATTCGGATTCGATGCGAATCGAATTTTTCCTGAAATTCGAAACGAATTCCACTTCGCCAGGTTCGATTCGCTCATCTCTAATTACCATCCCCGCTAATGTTTATTACAAGCCCTTTGCT